GGTCGCGACGAGGCGCCATGGGTTCCCGGCGCCACGACGCCGCAGAGCTTTGGGGCTCTGAGGGCTTGGGTCGGGTTCTTAGGGGTTTAAAGGATGAGTTGCAGGCCTGGGGCTTGGGGTGGGTAGGGCCTTGTTTTTTGGGGGGTAGAGCTTTGAATTCGACTGCCTTCGGTTGAGTGTGCCAGGTGCAGCGTTGAATGTTCAGGACCTTTGGAGGCTTAGGTAGTGTGGGCTTGAGGGTTGTCGGCGTTTTTGGTTACAGGCTTGGATTTTTGGGGCAGAGCTCTTTGTTTTTGTAGAGGAGAGGGGTCTTGGCTATAGGGTTTTACTTAGAAAGTGAAGAGGACGTGTTTCACCTTACGAGCTGTCGAACTAGGTTTTTGCCCGTGGGTTAGATCTTGCAAGTATGGGCTTAGCGGGTCACAGCTGTCGTCTTTGTCGCGGGAAGTTTACTTTGCGCTTTGTGGATTCTGCACGGCTTAACCTTTCTGAAGCTTAGGCAGCCGACCCCTGAGTTGTGCAGCTACTTCCCTAGGCACGAAGTCCTCAACCTGAAACGCTTCATCCGGAAGCCTAAAGTCCCTAAAGTCCCAAACCTTGATCTTCGCCCTTTTCGAGTGTAGCCCGCCAAGGCCCCGGGAACCCCCCCAAAAAAGAATCCTATCAAAAGAAACGAGTTGGAGCCCCAAAAACGCAGAAAGCCGATTCCTGAACCCTGAATCCTCCACCCGAAATCGCAGGGAAGACGCGTCCCCCCCCCCCCCCCCCCCCTTTTGTCAACACCCTCAGCCCTAGAGCGCCGCACCCGGAGCCTGTGGGCTTCTCAGGGTTTTTTGTGGAACGGTTCGGGCTTCCTGCGTTCCGGATCACCACTCCAGAGCCGTTGGGCTTGAGGGTTCTTGGTTCCAAAATGGAGGTCGGAATGCTTGGTAAAAAGCTCCCTGAGAGTCGTTGTTGTACGTGTTCCAAGATTGGGGTTGAGGATGTTGGACGCGTCGGGCTGATGCCTTCGAAGCAGCTCCTGCGCAGGTGTGTGTCGCAGCAATGGAGAGGGGAGATGACCCGCGCCTCGAGGTGTCCCGGAAGTCCGGAGCTTTCACCCAACACTGGAGAAGCTTGAGACTTTACACCCTTCACAAACCCTACAGCCCTACATGTAACCGCTCAACCTCAAACCCCAAAGGGTTTGTGCTACGGGCTTAGGCTGACTTAGGCCTTCGCGTTGCGCGAACGGGGTGCTTTGGCTTTTGGGCTTTGGGGCCTAGGTCTTGGGGGTCTCGGGCGATGTGGCAGGCGCCTTGAACCCGAAGCTGCAATACACGCTAAACCCTAAATCCTAAACCCTAAGTCCCTAAGTCCCTAAAGCTCCACGCCTTCAACTCCTAAACTCCTGCAGCCGAAAGCCTCCAAGCCTGGAAGCCTAACGCCTCAGCTTCGAGGCCCCAAACCCTAGTTGATGGGCCCCCCTACCAGACTTCTCGCCAGATTACCCGCTCCACCCCCCTAACTTTTCGGGTTTCTGCTGTAGTCTAGGCCAGTTTAAGCCTTTTTCCCGTGCTTTGCGTGTGCCTTTCACTGGGCGAATACATGCATGATGCCCTCTGCTGGAACATCGCTTAAATGGCTTAGAGTTGAACTTCGCATGATTGTGTGGAAACCATCCAGCACGCGTCTACTTTTCGTGATCGCTTCGCTGATGAGCGCGATCTTTCTAACTGTGAGTGCGAGGCCCACAATGCTACTTTGCCTGGGAGTGGATGTGGTCGGGATCCTCCCTGTGGGCGGAGCATGGGGTCAGCACACCGGTGTGGATCTTGGGTTCCGCCCATCCATGACGGCTCTTCGCCTGTCGCGGTTGGTGACGCACCGCCTCCGGCCCCTCACACAGGGCGTCTCCACCGGCGTCGGACGTCAATCTTGGGCCAGGGCGGTCGAACGGCGGACCCAGCGGTCCGACCCGTGGCTTCATGAGGCCCCATGGGGCCCCCCCTGGTCGTCGAAGTGTGGAAGAGGCCGCTGGTCCACCAACGCTGAAGCCTAAACCTAAACCATCCTAAACCCATAAACGCCCAAAGCCTTAGAAAAACTCTTAGGACCCCCACGGCCTAAACCCCATCCCCCGAAAGCCCCAAGCCTGGGTCCGTCTAGTCCTTGCCTGGAAAACTCAGTTTTCTGCTTGCCTCCGCTTGGGCTTCGAAACGTAGAGCCAGACGTGCCTTCGCGCCTTACCCCCTGAATCAAATCTTGGGCTTAGGGTATTGGGTTTAGGGCTCGGGCTTGGGGTGATTAGGTTGCAAACTTTTGGACGTTTTTGGGGTTCTTGCTTGGTCTCGCCAAGTAGGACTTCGGTCTTTAGGGATTGTGGGCGTTGAGGATTCGTCGTTCTCGGACTTGCAGCTTTTTCAGTTTGACATTGGAGGCGTTTCGGTTTCAGGGCTCGCAGGTTAAGTATTTGTGGGGTAGCGGCAGGGTTTCGTGTTGTTGGGTGAAGTTGGGAGTTTAGGTCTTCCTTAAAGCCTCAAGCCCCGAAGCCCTAAACCGCACTGAAGCCCTTAAAGCCTTGAAGACCGACGGGCTACCTGCTTACTAAGCCGTCTTGGGTTTGTGGTTGGACGGCAAGGCCGCAGCGAACCTCTCCTTCCGCTTGGGTGCCTGGCTCCACCTTTGGAAGGGCTTCGCCAAGGAGGAGCCATGGTGGTTCAGCGCTTCAGGGCTTCAGGCCTATGTGGGATGCCCCGGGGGCCCTAAACCTCAACCAGGTTGCCACACAACTAAACGCTCACCAGAAGCTGTGGTGCATCTGACAAGACATGAATCGCTGACGCAAAGCAATTTCCAATCAATCGCAGGCCTTTTAGGTCTTGGTAGGTGCAGTGAAGCCCCGAGTACCAACATCGCCGCCAGTCACCATCGTAACGACCCGCACAACACAATAGAGTGCTGCAATTTAAAGAACTGGGTGCAACGAAACGGTCGTGAACAAGTCCCGCTGTCATCTGAACATGGAAAGTATCGTCTGCACAACGAAGCTGTCGACAAAAAGCTTCCGCTAATATCTCCCAAACTTGGAGCATTCACGGTGCAGCCAGCATGTCATGAAAAAGTTCCACTGCTTTGGGACAAGCTGGTCACCTCGCATATCACTAAAAAGCGTCGTGGGCGGAACAAAAGTGTTCCGAAACAAACCCCGAAACAAAGCCGCTGCAGGCAGCAAAGTGCAACCAAAAGCTGTGCTACAGTCTGTTGCTGGGAGGTGGCAAAAAGGAAGTCAACATGTCATCAAAAGAAGCGGGGCAGCGGCTTAATTACCCAGGGGGGGGGGTTCAGCAATTCAGCGTCAGCTTTTGCGGAAGCGCGGCAGCGGCGTAATTACCGAGGGGGGGTCAGTAATTGAGTTTTGGGGTCGGCAATTAAGCGCAGACAGGGCCCATCCCCTTGGAAAAGTACAAATTGGCGAGAGCTACCGCTGGCGGGGGCCCCATGATCCTGCTCAGGCTCAAAATCTGCAAGGCTTTCCGGCTTGGTCATTAATAAGCAAGAACTGCTTCCGATACTTGCTGTTTCGGTGGAGGAGCTGGATCAGAAGCAATTCTATTCCTCAGTCTTTCCTCAAGATGTTCACAGTGGAGAACCCACCCAACACCCCGGTCGAACCCTGACTTTTGTCGTAACTAAGACTGGACCCTAAAATCCAAGCAGCAACAGTAGGGCATAGAGCAGAAGCTTTCAGTCGGGTGCAGTTCTGACTCGGCGGTCCCAGCCTGCAGCATCTGCGAGCCTAAGCTGAAGCCCGGAACTCTACCAGCTGTCGCTTGGCTTCAGGTTAGAGGGCCTTCCTGCAGCCTTCAATCCTAGTTGTTCAAGCCTATACGGCCTAAACCTCCAACTGCCAGGCCCTCTGCACCAAAGGAAAGGGCCCACCACAGGAAACAGGATGCCACAAGAGCGAATCGCAAGTAGCTGTCAAGGAACGCCAGTCGCTAGCCGACCAGACCTCAACCCCAAACGCCAAACAGCCGACCGTAAACCACATGAGCTACCGTGAACAGCTTATGGGCTTGTGACAACCTGTTAAAGGAACCTCAGTAAGTCCGTACAACGCCATCCTACCCGACACCCACAATGCGTCTTATGGAGCCCTGAAAGAACCCTCTCAAAACCCCCCGAAGCAACCTTGCATGATTAGATCCATCCCTGAACCTAAGCCCTAAATCCTAAACTCTAAACCCCAAATCCTAAACCCTAAATCCTAAGCCCTAAACCCTGAACCCCTAAGTCCTAAATCCTAGCTGAACAGGAGCCCTTCCCGCTGCTGGAGGGAAGATTAGCCGCTCTCTGCCAGCAGCTTGGGGAGTCAGCGGGGGCCTCGATGTTATTTCTGTGTAGAAATTTGTGGGGTTCAGGGTTTAGGGTTTAGGGTTTAGAGGTGAGGGTGGTACTGCTGATGTTGCTGTCAGCTACGATTGCACATGCTGTCTATGAATGTCACTGCTTCCAATCTGTTCCCGAACCCCCGAACCCAGATCCTGAACCCTTATCCAGAAACACCAGGCCGCAAATTTGCCCTAAAACCTACAGCAGAAATCCCGAAATTCTGAACCCTGAATCGGAATCCTAGATCAAGCTCCGAGTCCTACACCCGAATCCGTACGTCCTAGACCCTCAAGACCCTCAACCACAAAGCCCCCTATCCCTGACAGTTTTGTTTCTGTTCTCCACGCAGGTCGTCACTGCTCCTGGTCTGGCGACAAGTCAGATGATCGCTCTTCCCTCAGACCCAGGAGTTCAAGGGTGCCTTGAACGGTTACCTTCAGCACCACCACCACTACTACTACTACTACTACTACTTCTACTACTACTTCTTCTTCTACTACTACTACTGCTACCACTGCTACCACTGCTACCACTGCTACCACTGCTACCACTGCTACCACTGCTACCACTACCACTACCACTACCACGACGACTACTACTACACTAGTACTAGTACTAGTAGTAGTAGTAGTAGTAGTAGTAGTAGTAGTAGTAGCAGTAGTAGTGGTAGTAGTGGTAGTAGTAAGTAGTAGTAGTAGTAGTAGTAGTAGTAGTAGTAGTAGTAGCAGTAGTAGCAGTAATAGTAGCAGTAATAGTAGTAGCAGTAGTAGTAGTAGTAGTAGTACTACTACTACTACTACTACTACTCCTGCTCCTCCTGCTCCTCCTGCTGCTGCTGCTGCTGCTGCTCCTCCTCCTACTACTACTACTACTACTACTACTACTACTACTACTTCTGCTGCTACTTCACGGCGACTACTGCCAGGACTCTTACCCCTCCACGATTACAACTGCCAGTAGGATGCTGACAACTACCCA